TCCAACCGAGCGATTCTGTGATTCTGTAATGTGCATTTGGAGCTAATGCACCTCCACTGCCATGGGCAGACCTGGTGAAAGCCATTTGCATGCAGAGCTGAAAACAAGGGTCAGGGTGCAAGGGGGAAGAGTACATCAAAAAAGTGACAATATCATTACAACACCCACCTTATCTTGTAAGAGGGGCACGGCTGATGAAAGGAAGAAGGGGTGAATTCAGAGCTGGTGGGGCACAATAGCCTTCTGCACAGCACAACATCATGAACACCCACATACACCCCATGAGCACAGTCCACCCCCAGGGAAGATCTGCCACCCCTCTTTGACCTGTCCCAGGGCTGCACCATTCTTTGGAGAAGGAGCTTCTCCTGATGTCCAGTCTGAACTTGTGATCCTTGTCCCCTGTTACATGGTCTGGTGCCCTGAGAAGTGTTTGGGTCTGTCTGCTTTGCATCTGCCCCCAGACTGCTGCAGCTGCAGTTGGGTCTCCCCCTTGCCCCAGTCAACCCATCCCAGCTCTTTCCACCTCTCCCTGTATGCCCGGTGCCCCAGGACTGGCCATCTTGGTCACCCTCCACTGGTCTCTCCTGTTCCTTCATATCACCCTTGAACTGGGCAACCCCAAGCTAGCCACGGCAGCATCCCCAGTGCCTGGCAGGGGAAAACACCCCCCTTGATGGCCACTCTTCTCCTGACGTGGCCCAGGACATTGTTTTCCATATTCTCCATAAATGCAAATCACTGTCACATGTTTGGTGTGGGGGCAGTCCTGTGGTGCGTGGCCAAGGGAGCCAGAAGCTTGTGTAGGGCTTGCGGGGTGATGAGGATGCCAGCAGGAGACGGGAGGGCCATGGGAGAGGGCTCCCAGAAGCACGGGGGAGGGTGAGAAGGATGCGGCCGAAGTGAACTGGATCCCACAGCAGCAAGGATGCTGGTGCTGTCGGGCTGCAGAGCCAAGCTGCCTACCCCCTGCCTCTGGCCCCGGAGGGAGAAGAGAGGCAGCTGGGAGATAAGGCCAGGGATTTAAGACGCTTGGCGGATCCTAACTGACAGAGCCAGGGCTGTCTGCTTTCCATCAGCTGTTAAAAATGCCTTGCTCGAGTGGAAGGAGCCTTGCTGCCAGGAGAAACAGAGCCCGGCAGAGGGACCTGAGAAGGACCCGTCCTCAGAGCCATTAGCACAGATTGAAGGTGCCATTTTGGACACTTTTATTGCGAGAGAGAGCTGTTTGCTCTGTGCTGTTTGCAGGGGTGGGCTGGGAAGCCAGGGCTGTTCTTGACACAGAGGAGCCAGTTTGGAGCCTGCGCAGCTCACCCTGGATTAATTTAAAAGTTGGTCAGAGAGAGGCAGTGGGGCATGGGACCAGCAACCAGGGAACCTCTCCTGCACGTTTGCCTGAAGGCTTTTCCTTTCTCTGCCGAGCTGCCCGGGGCAGGAGGGCTGGAGGCCTCCAGCAGCAGATGCTGCAGAAGTGGTCTCCATTCCCAGTTTCCTGCACTGGTTGTCCTGCAGGGGAGAACAGGACCCCCCATGGGTCCTTCTCCATGGCCTTCCCTTCCCAAAGCATGGGCCTTCCCAAGCACAACCACCTTTCCGTGACCTGGGAATGGGTGGATGGGGAAACAAGAGCCCCTGGTGCTGCTCAGGTGTTCCCAGTCTTGTTTGAGAGAGCTACAGTCAGTGCTGTCAGCAAACGCGCTGCTGTCTGAGCCGTACCCCAGCGAGGCAGCCATCCATGCCTGCATGCAGCAGTGAGGCAATTAAAGGCCCATATGTTTCCTGTGGACCTATTGGCATCCTCCAATTGGTGCTGGGGATATGGGAACCCACCACGTGGGAAGCTGAAACCACCCCTGCTTCAGTGATGAGGCCAGAGCCCCTATCAAGGTGATTGCCCTCCTGGGATGGAGGATGCTCTGATAAAATAGAAATTTCTCTGCTTTCACTGTTTCGATTCCCTCTTTCTGAGTGAGAGTTTCCGGGGATGCTCTGCCCCTGCCCTCATTACAAGCCCAGGGGGAAGCAGCATGTCCCAAAGCTGCTGTCACCACCTGGGGCACAAAACTGGGGTGTCCTCGTGTCTTCCAGCAAGTGATGAGAACATCCACGCTGTTCTAACAGGAGGGGGTTTGGCTGCTGTGTGAAGATTTAAGTTTTGATTTGTTGTTTACTCTGGAAACAAGAAATTGAGCGGATTCCAAATGAAAAGCTGTTTTCTCACCCAGAGGAAGACCTGGAGGGAACGAAACAGTTTTGAACACGATATTCATTTATTTTACTTCTGGAGATTGTCATTACTTGAGGGAAAAAAAAAAAGAGCTTTGCATCAAATTTCAGCGATTTTCCTGATTTTCAGTGTGATTTCAGAACATTTATCTCTGGAGAAGTTCTGATTTTCCAGGATTATTTTATCCTGTGTTGGTGTGTGGTGTCTCCTGGGAAGGAAGACAGTTGCCAAAACTGCTAGCCGTGTTTTGATGGCATTTGCAAAGGGTTTTAGCATCCCAGCTTGTTATTTTTGGTGGACAATCATTCAGCCCCCAGTTTTTGCCCCACTCTAAGAGCAGCACACACAGAAGTATTAATTGCAGCCGCTGGCCTGTGCCAGGCTAAACCTGGGGAATATTTTTTGTCTCTCGGGGCCAGTTGCTAAATCTCAGCAGTGTAGGCTTTTCTTTTTATGTATCTCTATTGTGATGCAGAAAAACCCTGATAGGAAAGTGTTTATTTTTAAAATAAGCCTCAGGAACGTGAAAAAGGCCTGGTTCTTCAAATGTCTTTGATCAAATTACTCTGTATTTCACCCTGGATATCAGACTAGAGCTATTTTGTGTGTTGGTCTCACTGTGTTTCAAAAGTGGGTATTAGTACGGGGACCCTGTTACCATTTCGACTGCAGCCACCATCACTGCTCTGTAACGGAGAACTCCACAGCCATCACCTTTCCTGACAGCCTAACACCCTTCGAGATGGGTTTGTACCAAGGGACATGCTGGGAGCAGGGTCAGACATGGAGTCAAATGTGTGGGGCATAAGGGATGGTGTGGGTGGAAAGATCCAGGAACACGAGGAGGGGCCAGATTTTCAACAGATCCTTTGACTGTAGGAGGGACTTTGTAAGCAGGAAGGCTGATGGTATTTTTCTGTAGAGATTTTCTCATTGGAAAATCAATATAATTTTGAAGGAAGGAAGATGAAAACTGGAAAAAAACTCTCTTTTTTTTTCAAAGAAAAGAAATAGGTACTTTTCAGTAATAGCTCTTGCTTACAGCAACCCCAAGCATATGTTTTTTCCCAGGCTGTTTTTCTGATCTGCCTCATTCCTGAAAGCCTTGGCAGCGAACTGAAGGAGAAGTTTGTTTAACTCGTTTCAGTGCAGAAGCCACCTGCCACCCCCCAGGCTCTTTGTGCTGCTCAAGAAATTAACAGTGATGGAAAGTCACAACCGAGAGTGATCACCGATAGCCGTGCCGATAAATGCTTATAGCCCAGCTTTTGCTTTGGCATTGGTGGTCCCTTGACTTGGAAAGGACTTTCTGGTATTTAAAGCTTTGCCCACTGGAGGTAGACCCCAGCACGCTGCTGGATGTCATGGCAGAAGGGACAATTTGCTTATGATACTCGGCAGGGAAGACAAGGGCTGGCTGCAGAGAGTTGCAACAGGGCCTTATGAGATGGCGTGACCAAGGAATGAGAAGGCAAGTGGAATTCAATAGACATGAGGTGATGCAAATGGGAGAAAACAACCCCAGCGTCACGCACACATACACAGAGCTAGACTGTGAGTTGGCCAGTGTCCCTCAGGAATGAGGCCTTGGAGCTATAATAGGTACACTGGTGGTTAAAGAATAATTTGGACATTGCTAATTATGAGAAAACAGTAAAGAATAAAACAGTGAATGTTGCTGTGGAACTTGTCTGGGGCATGATGAAGGTTTGTGTAGCCCTGGGGGTCATGGTGAAGGTGGGTGGCATTTGAGTGTTCATTGCCAATGCAAGTGTGAGAGGGCATCAGACGAAATGGGAGCTGGCAGCTTCAAAGCAGAGGTTTGGTCACACAGCACGCAATTACACAGAGGGGCTCTGTGCTGCAGGAGAAAATGGGTGCAAAAATGAGTTTGCATGGGATAAAAAAATGACTGGGTTGCTTAGTGGAAAAAAGGTCCCACAGGGGATGTTAAACACCAAGAGCCTGCCTCTTAGAAGTCCCTGAGTAAATTGTTGGAGGGTAGAAAGGTACTGTGGGCAATGCCCAGTGCCTTGGGTGGCTGCTGTTGGGGAGAGGGTTCTGGTGACTGTGTACCTTTGGTCTGACTTGGTACAGCTCCTCATGTCTTACATGATGGTGACTAAAAATCCCCTTTGCATTTGTAAGAGTCCCTGAGTCGACCTTGTGGTTGTGGTTGGGGCCTTAGTGGGGAGAGACATCTGCATGGGGACCCTACCTCTCCAGGCAACGCAAGCAGCAGCGCCTGCTCCTCAGAGTCTTCAAACCAGCTGCTGCTTCTCCAGTTTGCTTACTTCAAATTGCTGGGTTTTGGCTTTGGCCTCTGCAAAGCCCCACAGGGCGTTTTCTGGCAATGCTGCCAGGGCCCGGGCATCCCCGTCCTCCCACTTACGGCTGCTCTTGGTTCTCTTCCAGGCTGCCCATCGGGGACGTTTAAGGCCAGCCAAGGGGATGAAGGCTGCGTCCACTGCCCGATTAACAGCCGGACGACTTCGGAAGGGGCCACAAACTGTGTGTGCCGAAATGGATATTACCGGGCAGATGCCGATCCTGTCGACATGCCGTGCACCAGTATGTGGGCTCCGGGCAACTGGGGAGGGACTGCGCAGGGCTGGGAAAGATGTTCATCAGTCAAAGCACCGAGGGATGCTCAACAAAGGCATCTGTCCCAGTGGGATTTTGGAGGAGGCCAGGGGGCTCAGAGCACCTCGTCCAGAGGGGCCTTGCAGGCATTGGTGTTTCTTACCCTGGGCCAGTCTGTGCTTGCAAACATTGCATGTGAAAAGAGGACAGAAATTTGGGTTGGTTTGTGCTGTTCTGGGCAGTGGGATAACTTCACTCTGGGGCTGTGCCTGGATAAGAAAACCTGTGTGCTGGCACACAGAAGATTAGTGCAAAGGCCAGGAATCAGAAGTGCTTCAAAAAATAACTGGTGAATTTTGTCTGGGATGCCATGTAATCAAATTAGCCTGGGTTAAGAGGACAGGTTTGGTTCCCACTCCTGCCTTTGGCTGTCCAGCATGCTCCACATATCCCTGGCACCAAGAAAAGCGCCTGGCTCAGTATGTGCCTGTGCAGAGTCCTGTCTGGGCTGGGGTGCAGGATAGACAGCTGGTCCCATGGCTACGAGCAGGACTCCGGCTCTCACACCTTTCTCTCTGTTCCCTTCACAGCCATCCCGTCTGCCCCCCAGGCTGTCATCTCCAGTGTGAACGAGACCTCTCTGATGCTGGAGTGGACCCCGCCACGGGACTCGGGGGGGCGGGAGGACCTGGTGTACAACATCATCTGCAAGAGCTGCGGCTCCGGCCGCGGGGCCTGCACGCGCTGCGGGGATAACGTGCAATTCGCCCCCCGCCAGCTGGGACTGACGGAGCCCCGCATCTACATCAGCGATCTGCTGGCCCACACCCAGTACACCTTTGAGATCCAGGCCGTGAACGGCGTCACCGACCAGAGCCCCTTCTCCCCGCAGTTCGCATCAGTCAACATCACCACCAACCAGGCCGGTAAGATGTGGATCTGTGTCTCTCCAGGAGGGTGTAGTATGGGTAGAGGTCTCTTGGTCAAGAGGGTGATGGGTGAAACCTATGTGGGGTGAACAGAGCTTGAAGAGAAGAGATGGGGTGAGATGTGGCATGGTGTGGCTTGATCCATAGCACTGGTGGTGACTGAAGCGCGATTCTTGGATGAATCCCAAGCCATGGCTGTGAAAAATATCCCATATTTCAGTGAAAAGCTGCAATGTGCCTCAAGGCAGAGCTGTCCTCCCCATCACCGCAGCAGAACAGCTCATGTCACTGTCCTCTGGTGTCTCAGCATCCCTCTCTAGCACTGGGTGCCTGCCTGTTCCTGAGTTTGTTGTCTCAGAGCATCAGCAGCACCCCCTGTCAATGTGTTGCAGACACAGAAGCAACGCTTATGGCTGTGGGCAGCCTTGCTGCAGCTCCTGCTACTGCTTCTGGTTCCTGAGGAGGAAAGGTGAGGTAGGCTCCAGCATTTTGACACAGTCTCTGCTCTGACTGCAAAGAGAGGCAGGACAGGCCATGAAAGCAAAGGGGGTCTGGGAGATGGATGTACGGGATGACCACCCGTAAATCTGCTCCAGGTCCTTTGCCACTGCAGAGTCACCTTGGTGAAGAAGGCGAAGCAGCAGAGCTGGAAGGTTTTCATTGAGGGTCTCCAGCTCTGTGCTGGTTGGGGGGTTTGCTACGCTCCCCCGGTGCGGGGTGGTTTTGCTGGGGGAAGGAATGTGTCAGAGTGGCGGAAGTGCTGCTCCCAGAGATCTACCAGCAGCCCCTGGCAGCAGCTGTGGTGGTGGCAGGGTGCCCGCAGAGCCTCTGGTGAGGGGCTGCTCTCCACAGCCCACCTGGATGCCATCTGGAGCTGCAGCACAGACTGGGGCTGGGTCTTTGCTTAATCCGATTGCACGGTGGAAGCATGCCAATAAGGTACAAGCATGCGTGGGAGCAAACGAGTTTCTGTGGTCCCTCTGAGTGCTGCAGCAAGTGTGTGGGGAGTGTGAACATGCCCCAGGCTGTCCGGGACTCTGCACGACCTTCACGACTGAATTTGGCAGTTGTGGATGATTGCGTTTCCACTGAATTGCCTGGAGACCCTGGTGTGTGCTGGCTGCAGGGGACAGGAGATGTTTGGTGTGGGGTAAAGCAGCAGTGGTGCAGATGGGCATCACTTGGTTGGCCACGCAGAGCACTGAGGCAGAGGTAACCTGAACAAATTATCTTGGTGGCATGTGAACCAGCAGAGTGACCTCTGGTCTTAAGTCAGGAGCCATGGGGTTTTCAATATGCAGCCCTGAAGGCAGATTTAGCAGTGTTGAACCATGGTTTGATGGCGAGCAGGAGCACGTCAGCATATAATGAGAGAGAAACTGGTCACGTACGGTGACCTGCCGCAGCTTCCTTTGGAGTGATGGCTGATGGAGACAGGGTGGGTGCAATGCTGGCTGGGCTGGGAAGGGGCTCTGTACACCCCCAGCCTTGTCCTGTGCTATAGACGAGTTATTTAATGCTTAAATTCTGCACTTCACAGTTACATGTAGTCCTTGTTACCTTCATGTACTGTCTGTGGCTACTTCCACCTTAGCAAAACCAGGGAGCTGAGTTGCAGGCAAATCCCTTCCAGTCCCCTGGATCCTCCTCCTTGTGCTTTCCTTGTTTGACGCTACTTTATTATCAGAGCTCACACTTCTCAGCCTGTGTGATGTCTCTCTTAATGTATCTATTCATTAGCACTAAACAGTAACTGTCTGCTTGCTAATTCCTCTGTAATTAGAGGCTCTGAATTCTTCTGCTTACACTCCGCACCGCCTGGCAGCCTTGGTGTAGATCATTAGCAGTTGGTAACAGAAGCTGCAGGCACAAAAGGAGAGCTGGGACAGGAGAATGGAGGATGCTGTAGGCAGAGGAGAGCATGCATGAGGAGGATGACCGGCCATTACAGCCTCCTCCTGCTCTTAGTTGTGCTGGGCTTGGTCTCAGGCAGTGCAGAGGACCAAAACCATGATGGGGTTGTGCTCCTGCCACACAGTGATGGCTTCCCTGTGAAACAGCCACTGCACTGCCCTTCCAGGACCTGCCAGCCCCAAAAAAGCAAGGCAAAATTGCCCTAGTTCACCTGGGGATAACTGAGCCAGTGGTGGGGGACTGGCGCACCACCTGTGCTTGGTGCTTTGGCAGCATCTTCAGCATTCAGGTATCATAAATTCTTCAGCATCCCAGGAAAAAGCTGCTGTGAGAGAGTAAGAGAATGATCCCCGTAGAGCAGCCAAAGGGCAGGCACTGAGTGTGGCCGGAGCAGTGGCACTGAGGAGTGAGACGGTGTGGGGACCTTAATCCCAACAGGGAAACCATTCCCTTTACACATCCAAGTGTGAAGTGCTACCTCACCCATCTGTGCAGGCAGCTCTTACTGTCCCTGGTGGCTTCTGTCTTGGTCCCTTCAGATGCTGCTTCCTTGGATACAGCCTCCCATTCTGCAAGCAAGACCTGCATTTTGGTTTCCAGACCCATGCACAACCTTAGAATCATTTCCATGGGCTCAGCCATTGAGCTATGATCATTGCTCTGCAGCGAAGTTGTCATTCCCACCATTGTCATTTTGGACACTTTATGAATGGTTTTCCATCAATATTTTTATATCATCTCCCAGGTGTCTTATAATTTTAAGGCAAGGTGCTGCTTGCACTGTGCTGGACATAGCATGAGTCCCCACTGAGTTCCAGTATTGTTTAATTTCACATGTTGCAGGTGGTGCTGATGGTGAGCCAGTGTCTCACACCATTTAAGTCTGAGTTCAGGAAAAAAATCAGGAGTTTGACTGGAGCTGCTTCCACAAAGCTGCTGGGCCTGATTTGAGCCATAGGATCCTATCAGGGTTTGTGGAAGGGACATCTGGGGTCCCTGATTCACCCTCTTGTTTGCAGCAGGACTATCACCAAAAGCAGGTGGGGAGGCTGTGTCTTTAGGTGAAAAGCCCACCTCCCTGCTAACCTGTCCCAGGATGAATTCACCCTACTGGAGAAGATGATTTTCATAATTGCCAGCCTGATTTGTGTCTCAGGTCCCTTGCTACATCGCCTACCCACGCTGCGAAGAGTGTGTTTCCACCCTCTTTCAGCTGTGCTCTGAGCAGTTGTAGGTGCAATTAAATTCACCCTTAATGTCATTAGCAGGCTCAGCAAGCTCAGATCTCTCCATGTCTCGTAAGTCCAGTGCCCCAGGCTGCTTTGGTCCCCCTTGGCTGGATCCTTAATGGTTCGTCATGGAGCCATGGCCTCGTGTCCTGCATTGGCCAGGTTGAGGTTGTGTTGGCTGACCTTACGCTTACCCAGGTTTACTCTTTGTATTTCACTGTAAGGTTGTCATCTTTTCAGTCCCATCAGCAGAGCGATCATCAGTCCAGACACAGCGATGCACATAGGAGCCCCAAGGGACAGGCCACCACTCTTCCTGGGAGAAGAAAGAGAATGTGTGAGAAGGCCAGGGCCAACCCATGCTCAGAGGCGATGTCCTAGACCTTTCTCTTGTAAGTGAGTGTCCTAAAAAAACTAGAGGTGTTTAACCTCTTCAGGCATTTGAAGGGGCTGCCCAGGGAGGTGGTGAGTCACCATCTCTGGAGGTGTTTAAGGAAAGGCTGGATGTGGCACTTAGTGCCATGGTCTAGCTGATGTGGCAGTGTTAGGTCGTAGGCTGGACTTGATGATTTCAGAGATCTTTTCCAGCCTCAATGATTCTGTGATTCTGTGAACCTCGAGAAAGGCAGGTTTTGTAAGAACAGGAGACATGATTCTGCCCTTTTCAAAATATAGAAAATTAGAAAGGACCAGGACCAGCAGAATAGAAATGAAAAGAGCTTGTAATAAACATCCCCTTCCCACCACCTCCTTGCTTCACAGTTGGTCTTCAGGCAACTCAGATTTACACCTTCCAACAAACTCTGCATGATCCCCACTGCCTTCCTACGAAATACCTTCTGTCACCTTTGAGGCCAAGTTGTGTTTTCTCTCTGCTCTTCTCAGCAGCTTCTTCTTGACCCCCAGCTCCAAGGCAGGTTTCTCCCAACAGCCGCTCACACTCCACTTGCCTGCCCATCGCACCCTGCAGCTGAGGGAGACCTCTCCCCCAGATCTCAGCAGATCTCAAGAGAGGGAGACACAGGACTTCCTATCTGACACAGACGGTTCTGTCTTAAGGGAGTGTGATGTGGCCAAACAAAATTAGATACTAGGAAAAATTTCTTCACTGGAAGAGTTATCAGGCACTGAAAGGGACTGCCCAGGGTAGTGTTGGAGTCACCATCTCTGGAGGTGTTTAAAAGACAGGAAGCTGAGGTGCTCAGAGACATGGTTTAGTAATGGACAGGTTGTGGTTGGACTCAATGATCTTAAAGGTCTTTTCCAACCAAAGGATTATGTGATTCTAAAACAAGGCCATCGTGCAGATACCGGGTGCCACCAAGAGCCTTTTCTTAGCCATGCCAGGACAAAAGATCTGTGCCAAGAGGGTGGCTGAGTGCCATGCCAGCATCCCAAGAGGGAAGACACAGGAGGGAAGCCAGGGGTCAAGGAGCTGAGCATGGCCCAGTGCTTGGGATAATGACACTTGACTAATTGAGAGCCGTGCCAGGCGTCCACCCTCCAGCTGATGGCAACATGCAGCCCCTGCTTGCTAATTTGTGGCCATTCTTTAGGGAGGGTGGGGAGTCTGGGTGCTGCGAGGATCCGCGGGCTCCATCGGTGCCACGGGCAGGCTACACGTCCTGGGAAAGTCGCCGAGGGAAAGGGCTCCTTGGGCAGGGATGACTTGAATAGCATGTGGGGAGGGTACCTCCTGGTAATAGACTGTGGCTTCTGCGGTCTGAGAAGGGAAGAAAAAGCCCTGGGCTCCATCCAGAGACAAATTTAAGACCTCCCAGTGACGGAAAGAGAACATCCAGAGTTTTGGAAATGTGTCCCTTTTGTGAGCGACTCTTGTGTCACGTGGGATAA